TACACTACGACCGGAGGCTCACGACAAAAGTTCTTACTTAGAAAATTTTCTAAGTCCACAATCACAAACCCCCCGATGATTCTACTCTACATTCGAAGGGTTCTGATCAAGTTTCCTTGGAAAATATGATATTCCACAACAACAAGCCCCCGGTAATTCCACATTACAACAGGAGGCTCGCTGCCAGGTTTTACTTAGAAAAACTTCTAAGTCCACAAACATACATTCATTCAAGCAAAGGCAAACACAAATCAGACACAGGAGGCATTCATTCAGAAGAAGCCCGAAGGCAAAACATTAATCGCCATAAGAATTCAAAGTACAAAGGTGTTCATTACAAGGCGAGGCCAAAGCCGACCGCTACAAGCCATTACATGGAAAAAATTCATAAATTTCTAAGCTTGGGCTCCTCCCGGTGCATCCTCCTTCGGCCTCGAAGCCGCATCGTCCTCAGCCCCCTCATCATCTGAATCGCATCGGGCCAGCTCCGAGTCCTCGAGCAGCTCCCTTTCTTCACCTTCGGGCAAGGGGACCCTCACGTCCGGCAGGAGCGGGGGGAGACCGTAGGCTTCGGGCTGGAACTCCTTCGGGTCCACACCATGGTGCCGGGCCAACTTACGGTAGATCAGGGCTTGGGTGAAGTACTGAGCTCCCTCGTAAAAACTTTTGCCTTTCAGCGCCAACCACATGGCCCCGGGCCCCTTCACCCAGCCATCAGCAGAAGCCTCCACCACTGAGGCCACCCACTGCTTCTGCTCTTCGGCCTTCCAGCCGTCAGCAATAAAAGCCGCCACCGCCTCCTCCCTGGCCTTAGAGATAGCTTCCGCTTTAGCCTCCTCAGCCTTCTCGGCGGCTATCTTGGCGGACTCAGCAGCGGCCCTCTCGGCTTCAGCTTTCCCCTCGGCCCGGGCTTCCTCCTTGGCTGCCTCCAGTTTCTTCTCCGCCTGCCGGAGGGCCTCCTCCAAATTCGCCAGCTGCCGAATGGCCTCGGTATTATTGGCCACCAGCTTCCTCGTCACCTCGGCGGATTTAGCCCTCTCAAGGCGATGCTGCTCCGCCCTACGAACCAGTTCCCCGAAGGCCAAGCTCGCCTGCAAACATATAAGGAGGCACTCAATATCAGATTATTCAAAGAAAAGAAAAGAAAAGAGGAGCTAAGGGTGCAAAAAATCTAAACACTTACAGTGGCCGAAGCTTGGAGAGCCTTGAGTTCGAGGGCTTCATCCCCAAACCGGCTGAGGGTGGACCGATCTACCGAAGGAGTGGCACCCTTCAAGAACTCCCTCGGGTCGAGGGTGCCATGCATGATGGCTGTTCCCTTTTTGATTGGGAAATGTACAGTCTCGAGAGGCCAGGCCCCCTCGACGAGATCCTCCAGGGGAGTGGATGCCGAAGGATGACCGGAGGGAGGGTCATCGATGATCACAACGGGGGAAGCTTTCGGTCCAGCATCTCCCCTCGCTTTCTTCTTTTCCGGAGGCTTCATGCCCTTCCCGGCGTTCCTCCTCTTGAGCTCCCCCTCCTTGGAGCCTCCGGCGTCAGTACCGTCACTAGTAACCACAGCCTCCTTCGGGGGCACGTGAGCCGCGATGGCCTCCTCCTTCTTCGAGAGGGTGTTTGCTGGCGGCTGTGTAGAGGGCCCATCTTCCTTCTTCTTACTTTCCTTGGCCAGCTTCCGGGAAAGCTTCGCGAACGCCTTCGGGTCCATAATGTCACCTGCAGAAAACAAGGAGATATTAAAATCAAGACAGGGAAAAAGGAGTAAATTCTTCTAAGTACTAAGGAGGAGATCCATCGGCAACAACCTCCGGCATTCTGGAACCCTCGCTCCATTGGGGGATACTTCTCATCCTTCTCCCCCACCAGCCGGAAACGCCGGAAGTCCAGCCGGTACAGTTCTTCCGGAAGGGTTGCAGCCTTGATGGTTATCAGTTTATCAGAGCCTTCGGGTTTGGCCTTAAGCTTCTTCCCTGCCGCCTCCAGGACAGCGCTTCCCACCTTTAAGTGCCTCCGGAAGTGGTTGCGCAGAGGCCTCGGGAATCCATTATCCGGCATCCGGACGTAGCAGAAACGGTCCCTCCACAACTTATGAGACGAGGGCACCTCCGAGAAGAGCCTCCACGCCGGCACCTGCTGAAGGTTGGCGAAGCCCTCGCTATTTGCTGCACCCCCCCGGCAGAGGTTAAAAGACATGAAGAATTGATCCAGGGAGGGTTCCACCCCCCGGCTCCGACACAGCGAAAGGAAGCCTGCGACGTAGGAGTGACTATTGGGAGTCAATTGACAAGGAGCCAGCCCCAGGAATCTCAGGTACTCCAACAGGAAAGGGTGGAGCGGGAATCGGAGGCCCAGCTCCACCGAAAGCACGTGCACAGCAAAGCATCCCTCGGGGGGATAGGACAATAAGTCTTCCGGGCCTGGCATCACCACTTGGGCCGAAGGCCCCACCAGGATTTGTATAGCTTGGCAGTCAGAAGGGGTGGCCGTTGTCTTCAAGTCAAGCGCGGCGGTGTTGAGGTATGAGTGGCCTTCGGGAATCCCCACTGGTTGCCCCGCGTCAGCAGCGGCCTTCTTCTTTTTCCTGGAAGGTCCCTCGGCTTTCCGATGCCTCCTCTTCTTCCCCGAAGCTACCCGCAGGGGGACGGCGTCAATCGGCCGGGAGCTGCTCGCTCCACCGGCGCCTCGCGAGGGCAGAACGGCAACCGTGACTCGTTGCCTCTCCTTCTCCTCCTCCTCCTCGGCTACCTGAAGCGCGAGCGCCATCTCTTCGTCCTCTGCTACCTGTTCGAAGTCTTCGGCTTCGACCTCAGCATGAAGGTTGCTTTGCATCACCCTCGCTACCTCTGAATCATTGTTACACGAGGCCTCACTGGATGACTCCACGTTCGAATAGCTCTCTGATTGTGCCGGGGACTCCTCCGATATATTCTGCGAGTCACTGCCGGAAGACATCTCGCTACTAAAGGAGAGGGAGGGTCCTAAAGGAAAAGGCTATATGACTGTCTTAACCGAAGGCCCCTAAGAACGCTTTAACACTAAATCGGCAGGGAGAAGAGCAAAACTTACTAAAGTATGAAGAAAAGGTGAAGAACTGACCTCGAAGACTCGGTTTGATCGAAGTAAAGGGTTTCTCTCACTAGAAAATCCGGCAGAGCTTCGCTAGGGTTTATGAAAACGCAAGACAAATGGTTTCCGGCTTGGGGTATTTATAAGCCTCCCAACCACGGTTAAGCCTCGGAACTGGGCCTCGAGTTAAAAGCCCATCATCACATGCCGCCCCATCACCCAATGAGAGGCAGCCGCCCCCCATCTGCCAACGAGGGCACGCCACGTCAACCCCTCTCCCAACGGCTATATTACAACGACTATATTTCGGCAACACTGGGATGCCCCCGAATGATGGCCTCCGGTTGATCACTCACCGCAGCCTTCAGGCAACGAATTCCACCAAACGCCTTCGAGCCCGTAGCGGCATAAGCCTTCGGCTTATCAATGTTATCACCCCTCGGGAACCCAACAACACATTATAACTCCTCCAGCCCGAACTTGCCTTCGGCCTAAAGGAGTGGGGGACTGGGATACACCCCTCGGATACACACTTCAACACCCCCTTCGGCAGAGGTAGGGTATCAAAATTTTTCCCAAGTCACTTGCGGAAATAAAGCAGCCCTCATCACAACACATGCAGGCAATACACCTATGCTTTCCCCAGAAAACCCTCGACATGTGAGGGACTGAGGAAAGCCTTCTGCGGTCATACAGGTGTTATACTGCCCTCAGAAAGCCCTCGACATGTGAGGGACTGAAGGGAGCCCTCGGCGAACATGCGAAGGTTACGAACACCTTCCCTCAGAAAACCCTCGACATGTGAGGGACTGAGGGAAGCCTTCGGCAAATTAGCAGAAGACAAGTTCTCCAGCGGAGGCACCCAGCGAAATGATGAAGCCTCCAGGAGAATCAACACATCTACTCCTTTTCCCTCAAGTACCTTTCGACAAAAGGAGTGAGGGACTCCTGATGGAGTATATGGTCCAGGAACCCCCGGCCCATAGACTCCTACTTCTCCTACACAAGCCCATTAGGCTCAGGGAACAACTCAGGCCCAAATACAACGGCCCAAGCCTCAAAGTAGCCCGGAATGCACACTGGGATGCCTTCGGCCTCCTTGGCCGAAGGCTCCAAAACTCACTGGATAGCCTTTTGGGCATAAGAAGCTGCTGGGAGAAAACGGGCGAAAACATAAGCCCTCGGCTACACAAGGAGCCCTCGGCTACACAAGGAGCCCTCGGCTACACAAGGAGCCCTCGGCTATACAAGGAGCCCTCGGCTACACAAGGAGCCCTCGGCTACACAAGGAGCCCTCGGCTACACAAGGAGCCCTCGGCTACACAAGGAGCCCTCGGCTACACAAGTTTGCCTTCGGCCAAACACGTTCAATCATCGAAGATTCCTTTTGGAGACAGCCAACCACCGCATTTAATGCCACGTCACATCCGCCAGCCGCATTCAATGCGGTAAACGTACCACTGCCGGTGCCAACCGGTTGATGTGACCCTTCGGCCGTTGGATTACTGACACGTGTCCTCCCATCGCATTTATTGCTGCTATAAATAGCAGCCCATTTCTCCTTGTAAGACATCATCATCTACATCTCAACTCCACATCTCGAGTTCATTTAATAAAATCGACTCTCTCTCCTCCTATTTTGCTCTGACTTCTCTCTAGTTATTCCCGCAATAACCCCTCGGATAAGATACCCCCCGGGTAGATTGTCCATCACAATCGATTCAGCCGATTTGAGTGTTACGAAACGGGCTCTTAGTATGTAAGACAATTATGATGTTTTCTTTTTTACTGTTTTCAGTCACAGACCAAACCAGATTTCCATAAATATAAAATACACAGAGACCAGACGTTTACAAGATCAGTTCAGATCCGTCTAACAAATTTCAGTTAAAAAGAAAATATTCTTATTGAAAAGTTGATAAAACTACAATATTGGATGACAGAATATTTGAAGCATACATAGGAGACGTGGTTACAATAACAACCCAAATATCATTTCCTGCCTGCTTCAGTTCTTTTGTGCTTTTCTTGAACACTTGATGCCTGAAGGTTATCCATAGATTCAAAACATTCGCAGAGTCGAATCCTGCAAAACCCGAAGAAACCCGCATAGTGAAATGGTGTCGATCGTAGAAGTTGATAGTGTTCTCCGTCGCAGTAAGGTTCTCATCCACCTTCGCAGTTTCTAATAAGTTCAGTTACAAATCGAATTCTTATGAACGTCTTCTGTTTGTGGATGGGGTTTTATGCGTTTATTTATCAGCGTAGTTCTGTTGATCATCAATTTGTTGATTGGGTTTTCATGTTCATTATGTTTGATCATCTATCTTTTCTCTCCTTTATTTGGTTACTAGATATTATCAGTTGACAGAAAATAATGTTGTAGGTTCCAGTCTCAAAGGAAGAAGCTGATATTCTAAATTCATGGAGGACAAATTGTCGAAGGGCAACGATTACGGGCACTAGTCTTGGTCTTATTGTTACTTGGTCAGGTACATTTAATGATTTAATAAAGCCACTGTAGATAATTTGGTTTAATTTTTTTCCCCTACTTAATCGCTAAATACAAATCTTTTAGTTGCCCCCTTCTTTTTTATTATGAACTAGAACCACCTTAGGGTCATCTAGTGAACCTGTTTCAATTTCAGTTGCGTGAGTTGCTCCATTAGTTAAAGAGTATTTCATGAGTAGTTGTGAAGCATAACACATTTATACAAATGGGACCATGATCCATCATTAGTTTGTTTTAAAAATTTTACTCCAATTCTACAAAAAGATTTATTTACTGGCAGCCTGGTGTATATTAGTGTCCCGCAAGCCGAAGGCTTAGGGAAAGCTCCACCAATGTTTTATAGGAGGGGCAAGCCTTCCCTTGTCTTTTTGACAAGAGGTCACTCCCACGATTTGAACCAATGACCTCTTGATCATACGACAACACCGTAACTGGTTCGCCAAGGCTCTCCTTCAAAAAATGGTTTGCTACTTTTTTTATTTTTCCAGGATGGGATGAATCTCATTTTTATTATAAAATAAGGACGGTCTCATTTGTGCACATAACTCATGTTTTACTACTACATACTAATTGGAATAACTTCTATTTTTTTAAAAAAAAATTGGCCATTAAGACAAACTTGAAACTTCCATAGCCTGTTAGCTATTTTTCTATATTAAATAATGTATATCCTTTATATGTGATGCCCACTGTTCTCTAAGGTAAAATCTTGGTGTCTGAGAAGTGTGAACTGCAATCCATTTAGTCCATCCTTGCACATATCTATCTGACACAACCACCAACATGTTTTCTTTTAATATTGTTTTCCACTAGACCATTCCAGTTTGCTGTATTTATTTCCCATGCAGTATGTGAAAGTGCTACTCAATTTGTGAAGCACCTAGCTGAAGTTATCTTATTTTCATTTTTTCTGCAGTAACAGGAAGGCTAAGTAATTTTGCCCGTGCTAACCTTGCAGCAGGTAATATATAAAGTATTACCACATTCTAAATTTTAAAACATAAACCTATTTCTAGTGTATATATGATCTAATTATAAGACACCTCCTTTTCTATAGCTTCATATTTTTACCTCCTGGAATGAAATCATGTTGTCTCCCAAATAGCCATATGAAGATGCCAATGATTGATAAAGCATGCGTGTCTAGACTCTATACTTTCCATTTGACCATTTCAAGCATACATGTCTAGACTCTGTACTTTCCATTTGACCATTTCAAGTATCTTGCCAGTTACTTAATAAACCTTGGAAACTATCAAATGTAAAGTTTCTCAGTACTTATTGAAAGTTTCTCAGTACTTTTTTTTTAATTACGGTAGGTTTCAAGTGTGTGTGTGTGTCTCTGCGTTTCGGATATGTTTCTTATAAAAAATGTCACATAAATCTTTCTAAAACATGTCAAAGACTTCATTGTTGATAAATGATTGTCTCAGCTTTTGAGAACTTTTCTGTAACAAACACTTCAAAACATGTTTCTTAAGAACAAAACAAAAAAAACTTTTGATGGATGACACATTGATTCATTTTTCTAAATAAATAAAATTAAAAGACAAAAAGGTCAAATAAGTCCTACTATTACGGAATCGTCACATAAGGTCATGTACTCGATAAAGTGTCATATAAATTCGTCTACTTATAAAAAGCAATCGAATGAATCAAAAAGACCTGTTGACAACCTCTTAATCCCGATTATAGCTTACATGTCGTTATTTTTGCCTTTTATTTAAGCCAATCCTGACCAAGTATTTCACGTCAGTCTTATAATCTATTTTTAAAAGATGGCCAGGCTTACGCTAAAACCGAGATTACGAGGTTGTCAACAGGTCGTTAGGACTCATCCAATTGCTTTTTATAAGTAGACGTATTTATGTGACACTTTATTGAGTACATGACCTTATGTGACGATTTCATAATAGTACGAAGACCTCATTTGACCATTTTCTCAACGAAAAACCGTGATCTACTTTGATAGAGAAACATGGTTCTGATGAAGTAATTTACAAAACAAAAAATGAAATTAGGCTTGATCGAAATAGAATTTCACTAGTATCATGTTTATATATCATCTATATTTGCTGTTACTACTCTATAAATTCTAGGATTACTGCATTATATTAAGGATTATTAGCTAAATATATCCCCAACTATCATCAAATTCACAAATCTATCACATACTTTCACTTTCATTAAAAAAGACTCAACCTTCAACTTTTCTCACAATTACACTTTCAATGGTTGAATTAGTAAAACTTGAGAAGAAAATCATATTTATATTTCATATTTTTTCACTTCTTTCTAGTTTTAAGCTTACAAACTTGTATTGCTTATATCTTATTGGTATTGATAAAAATGTGTGATTTTGAAAAAACAAAAAAGAAAAGCATAATTGTTTAAAAGGATGAAGTTTGAGTCTTTTTTAATAAAAGTTAAAGAATAGGATAGATTTGTGAATTTGATGATAGTTTGGGATAAAGTAAGCTAATAATACTTATATTAATCATGTAACTTGTGAACCTATGTTATCTAGTTGGTTAGTACTTAGTACGCGGCGCTTGCTAGGCGAATACTTGCTACTTGAAGTAAGACCATGCCTACTAGTGTACTTACTCGACCCATTTGAGTATTCTGAATTAATCACTGAGTCCTCTGCGAGTTTCACAACTTGGTGACTAGGTTTACTCACCGTGTAACTCGGTCAGCAATAATTGACTATTTTTTTGAGTTAAGTCTGAAAAATTGAAACTAAATTAGGATACTATGGGATACAGAAAAGATCAGGTCCCTCCGGAGGGACGGGAGGGACCGTCCGAACTTTACTGTTTGGGGCGGTTCCCGGTGGAATTTTTTGATGAAATTTTTTGAGCATGTTCCTCATCAAGTCTAGTTTGTCCATACCAAATTTCAGCTCAAAATTCGACCGGGAAGGCAGTCAAATAAATTCTTGAAGCTTACTGCACATCCTGCGCATATATAAAGTGCAGTAAGTTTCAAGAATTTATTTGACTGCCTTCCCGGTCGAATTTTGAGCTGAAATTTGGTATGGACAAACTAGACTTGATGAGGAACATGCTCAAAAAATTTCATCAAAAAATTCCACCGGGAACCGCCCCAAACAGTAAAGTTCGGACAGTCCCTCCCGTCCCTCCGGAGGGACCTGAGCAGTCCTCCTATGGGATATAAAAAATTAGTGACTATTTTAAAAACTGAAAAGTGATAAACTTGTGGATTAGACTTGCGGAGAATTAGACTAGGTATAAACTGCATTGTGCTGATTTAAATTATTTGAGAGAGGATGAACTTGTGGAGAATGTGAGCACTAAAGATCTACGGAGTATTTAGAGAAGATCTATCTTTGGACATCGAGGATGAAGAAGGAAATGACAACCTTGAACCAAATGAGGATTATTTAAGATAAAAGTTGAACTATTAGATGATTGATCTTCTTGGAGAGTTGGAACATTTATGATCTAAGCTACTTAATTATTAGGAATTAGGATTATATTTTATTATCTATATAAGACTTATAAGGCTAATATAATGCTATAATTTTGTAGAATATATTGGTAATTTTATTAATGTAGGATGGGTTATCACCGAGTAGTCTTGAGTTGTCACCTAGTATCAACTTGACTACTTAGTTGTGAACGCAACACATAATATTTATGGATGAGTTTCAACGAAATGCTAAATTGATTGGTACTCCTGTATGACTGTATTTATTTGAATTCTCACTGTTTCCTTTACAATTTTGTGTTCTACCTTTTTCCCACCGCTCCTAGTTATAAGGCATATTAGGATGGTCTTAATTTCAAGTCACTTTTGTGTTATCAATGCACATTGATTTTTTTTACTTCTACATTCGGTCCCCTTAAAAATTCTAATACAAATTTCCCGCAAAAACGTTAAGGGCATATTAGGAGAGTGGATGTTATTTTGAATGCTTTAATTATTTCATGGGTCACTCTGTCACTATGAAAACAAAAATATTGTGTTATAATAAGAATCAGAGGTAACCTCAAAAACTATCTTCTCCCTCCAGTGTGAATTCTGCCGGAACTCTGAATAGATTATGGGGCTAAAAATTTTTATACTCTCAACATGTTTTTTTTTTAATTATTGTCAATCGTTGATCTTCCAATTCTAAACCATCTGCTTTCAGGTCTGGTTCTGGAGTACCTTTTAAAAAATATAATTCCCCATATATACTATTCTAAACCATTTGTTTTGTGTTTTTTTTTTTTCATTTCGGTGCTAGTACGCTTGATACATACCCTCCTGGTTTTGTGCACTCTCCCCATCACAATCTTCTTCCTATTTTCTTTTTCAGTCCGCCCCAAAAGTTTCTTTCTACTTCCTCTTAAGGAAAGATTTCTGTGATTGGTATTTTTCTCTCCTTTTTACATCTACCAGTATCATAAAATTCCACATTCTGAATAAATGTGCCAATTCAAAATGGCAACAATTTTTTGGGACAGAGAGAGTAGTATTTGATCTGTTAGGTGAGTTGAGATGTGGGGAGAAGAGACGGGGAAGAGAGGGAGGAGAAGACCTAAACAGATATGGATTAGAGGAGTCAGGAGGATATGGTACTTCTTGGTTTGGATGAGAGTATGATGTTGGAAAGAGCAAAGTTGAGAGATAATATTCGTGTGGATGATTTCATTTCATCTTTCTTTATCTTTTTATCTTGTTTTATCTATCTTATGTTCTTTATCTTTTTATTGTTTTATCTATCTTATGTTCTTTATCTTTTTATTGTTTTATTTTATCTTTTTATCCTAATTATCTTATCTTATATGTTGTTTATCTGTATCTCTTCTTTATCTTATCTTTAGCTTATTGTTTTATCCTTTATCATTTTATCTTATTGGGTCATTCAGAAACAGTCTCTTTGTGCTTTAGTACAAGGATAAGGTTGCGTACATCCGACCCCCTTACCCCACCGTAAGTGGGAGCCTTTGCAGCACTGGGGTAATGGTGATGATGGTGGTGATGATTATTCTTATCTTATCTTTCTATTGTTTTAGCTTCGATTTGATATGTTGATTAATGTTAGCTGACCCCAAACTCTTTTGGGACTAAGGCTGAGATGTTGTTGTAGAGAGTAGTATTTAATGTACAGCTAAAGAAGGCCTGAAGTTTTCACTCAATTCAAAGTATTGCTTTATCTGTCTAATGTAATTTATTTGGCACTCCCTCTGCCCTGATATTGCTAGTAATATACACCTTTTGTGTGTTTATTGTTAATTTGAGAACTCAATTGACTGAGATTCCAAAGGTGTGGATTTCTTTCTTTGATGGTTTTCTATGGGTTAGCATACTTATCTTAGTTATTTGTAGTTGCTGGTCTCTGTGCTGGCGTATTGACATGTAAGAGCGCATTGCAATCAAGTGTTGAACAGTGTCTCTCTCTGAATGGAACTCGGTTGCAAAGAGAATTAGCTGAAATGTATGCAATTTCCTGACATTTCTTTTGAATTTCTCTTCTGAATTTCTTAGGATACTACTCTAGTTTTTACCCTACCCCCATGGAACTATGTTGTGATATAGTGTTTGGATGCTACACAGAATAGTGAAAAAGTACCCATATGAACATGCAATGAAGTGTCTCTCCAAACATTTCTTCTGTGAGAATGTTTATGATGATTCATCATCAGACAAACCGACACAAAGGTTGCGCTTAAGGAATTTCTCGGGTGAGAAGCTTGATAGTTTCCAACGGACAGAAGATGACTCCTACAAGGATGCATCAACTAATTTTGGGAGGATCAACATGAAAAAAGCCAACCACAGAGAAGATTCACATGCTTCCAGAAGAAATGATCTTGAACAAAAGGTTGGCGTTAGTATTATCCTTTGAAATCCAAGTAATTATTTTCATTAGTGCTAATTAACAGCATCAGTATATGTTTTGGAGGTTTTGTCATTATATTTGCTAATAATACACATGAAGGCTCTGTATGGAATACAGAAAATGATAGGCAAAGAAAATAAGAATGAAAGTATAAAAGAAATTCGAAACGAAAGAAACTTTTAAGTAAAACAAAATATTGTTTCAAAACCAAAAATTTATTTTTAGTATTAGTTTGATTTTTTATCTGTTTATGTGCATTTTATAAGCGCCAAACAATCTAAACACGTGTAAATAAGTTACAAACATTAATTATATTTCATTTCACTTTGCATTTTTCGTGGTAAATCCAAACACAAGAAAATAACTTTCCTTAACATTTTCTTTCATTTCCTACCGTTGTATGGATCCAAATATAGCAGAAAATTGTAGTGGTTTTTAAAAGCACATATTGAGTATTTGAGTATGCACAAAACTAGCTGTGTTTGCATTATTTATTCTGTTTATTTGTTCTCCAACGTAATGTCTCATATACTATTGTTACAGGTGAGGGCCGGTGATGATGCTGTGTCAGATCCATTTGACTGTGTATTTGGTCTGGCTTCTGAAAATGTGAATGAGATTCCTCATCAATCCTCCCCAGACTCATCCCACACATTGCCTCGAAAACATGGTAGAAGACACAGGCGATCTCGACGCAAGCATCCAGTACATCATAAGGAGACATCTGATGCTACCTACTAGCTAGCTAGCACTTAGACTATGTTTGGCTATCAGCGTTCGAGCCAAAATGCCAAAAGACATTGAAAACAAAACGCTTCAAAATGCAGCATTTGGAGATCACATTTCTGCTCATCTGCCGAAAAACAAACGCACTGTTAGTTAAGCCACAAGTCCGGGTGTTTCAAGAAATGCATGCCACGTGACCCTGTTTTGCTGCCTTTTTTCTCCTTTTCGGTAACCAGCTGGTGCTGTGTGGCCCAGGTGTATTGCTTATTGGGCATGATTATGATTTGGCAGTGAAACTTTCTCTTTTATTCTGGTAGACTGTTGTGTATGAAATGATGTTTACCTATGGACTTGCCGAGCATACGCAATGCCACAGTGGTAAATCTGGTGATTGAATGGTATTGTGAGCAAATATGAGGCTATGAATTTTATTATCATCATTTCATTAAAAAAAACTATTGTTATAGTTCTGATGTTGTATACTACGGGAAAATGTACATGAGATTTGATTTGATACCCGTTGTGTAGTTTTTTGAATTAACAGGAGCCAATTTTCTGTATTAAAAAGTAGAGATCGTGTAAGAATAATATGGACCCCCAGACTTTGACAATGCTCTCTTGGATATCCTAGGAGGTACATGGGTGTTGAAACTTGAAACAAGGGTGGTACCTTTCTTGGATATCCTAGGACTCTAGGAGGCCTTTGAGAAACCCAGTGGGTAGGGATCAGTTCCGAGTTCCGAGATTGGCCATTTTTTCGTTCTTTCAGAAATTGAATCCCATATAGCAATCCAGTCTAAACTCATTCTCCTTTTAGAAATAGCACAAAACTGTTTTCATATTCGGCTGTAGTTATGCTACCTATTTTTAAATAGGCTAATAAGTTGGTTATAGATTAATATTGACCCGAGAATTGTTTGTTCTACGGTCCCACCGTTTATCTGACCTTGAACCGGCTGAATTAGAATCAGATTGGATCTGCCCTATGTGGTGGACAGTAAGGATCTGTGAAAGGTATGATAGGTTCATCCGTTCACAGGGGACTATTGAAAAGTAATTTAATCTGGTTGATGATGCTAAATTTTGACAATTTTCCCTTGGTAGTTGTTTAAAAAATTATGTCACTTCTTCTTTAAAATAATAAGTTTGCGGTTTTTATTATTGTTGTATGCTTTGTCAATAGACTCAATAGTCAATATTGCAACAATTCATACTTTTTAAATTTTAGTCAATTTTGGCGGAAATTGACCCACGAGAATAGGAAAAGTTGTTGACGATTCTACGAATTTTCAACTGTCTCTTCTCACTTTTTGAAAGTTTATATATTGAGCTTGACCCATTCTTTATTGGTTAGAGAGAATCCAAAAGGAATTCTCCACTCAAGAGACTCCAAACATTGCAGAAAACAATCAAAAATGGAAGAAGAAACCTCAAACTCAGAATCCCCAGAAATCACTCTGAGATCAATACAGCTTTCAGACTTGGACGATTTCATGGAATGGGCAGGAGATGAAAGAGTGACCAATTTCTGTTCGTGGGATACTTACACCTCAAAAGACCAAGCCATTGACTTCATAAAGAACCATGCAATTCCACACCCATGGTTAAGAGTGATATGCCTTGAGAATAGAGTAGTTGGGGCAGTATCTGTGACCCCCAGGTCAGGGCATGACAGTTGCAGAGGTGAGCTTGGGTATGTGCTGGCACACAAGTATTGGGGCAAAGGGATTGCAACAAGGGCAGTCAGGATGGTTGCATCTACCATCTTCTCAGAGTGGGCCCACCTAGAGAGGCTTGAGGCTTTTGTAGATGTGACAAACAAAGGCTCTCAGAGGGTGCTGGAGAAATGTGGGTTTCTGAGGGAAGGGGTTTTGAGGAAGTACATGATCCTGAAGGGAAGATCTAGAGACACAGTGGTTTACAGCCTCCTCTCCACTGATTTATGTTCTCTAGGCAAGTAGCCTCTCAATCAATCCTCGGAAAAGGGTCAAATAAACTCTTATACTTTTATGAAAACATCATCCAAATCCATGTACTAAATTAAACATCATCACATAAGTGCATTTACTATCAAAAAGCAGTCAAAGAGGTCCTATGACCGGAAACCAACCTCCTACTCCAGATTAGAAACATTTTTTATTTTGCTTTATTCTCTTGCTTCACAATCCAGCCCTGCACACGTCGGTTTTTTATCCTTTCAGTTTCTTCTTTTGTTTTTTTTTTCTCTTTCTTCTTTTTCAATACTTCAATTCAATAGTCTCCCATTTCGTGATTTTCTCTTTGATTTGTTCTTTCATTTCATCATTTCAATTTCTAACAATTTATGTTTTTGTTATAAAAAATAACAATTTGTGTTTTTAGATTTTTCTTCCTCTATCCCCCTTATTTTCTTTTCTACTTGTTGTCTTCCCCAAGAAATGTTGCTGAAATTTCTTTCTAAGGATGTTTTTACTTGGATTGTAATTTGCTAATCTTGTCTGGTCTGATCTGGTAATGTCCAGTCTCTTTGTGTTTTTATAACTATCCAAGTCACATATTTTTATTGAGAATAACAATTCACATATTTTTTTAATATGTGATTTGGTAATCTTGTCTGGTGTGATTTGCTAATCTTGTCTGGTCTGATTTGGTAATTTTCTTTCTTTAATATGTAATAACAATTCACATATTTTTTATTAAGAACGAGCATATTTATGAGTTAGAGATGATAGTTTATTGAAATAATTATGATCTTTTTATTTGGACTGTAATCTATCTTAGACCAGATCAAACTAGATCAGACCAGACCAGATCAAAATTGACTTGGATAGTTATAAAAATACAAAGAGACTGGACATTAACATATCAGATCAGACAAGATCAGCAAATTACAGTCCAAGTAAAAACATCCTTAGAAAGAAATTTCAGCAACATTTCTTGGGGAAGACAAGTAGAAAAGAAAATAAGGGGGATAGAGAAAGAAAAAACTAAAAACACAAATTGTTTTTTTATAAACAAAAACATAAATTGTTAGAAATTGGAATGATGAAATGAAAGAACAAATCAAAGAGATTACGTGCAACGAGAAAATCAGGAAATGGGAGACTATTGAATTGAAGTATTGAAAAAGAAGAAAGAGAAAAAAAAAGAAACTAAAAAGATTGTGAAGCAAGAGAATAAAGCAAAATAAAAAATAAAAAATGTTTCTAACCAGGAGTAGGAGGTTGGTTTCCGGTCATAGGACCTCTTTGACTGCTTTTTGATAGTAAATGCACCTATGTGATGTTTTATTTAATACATATGCTTCGATGATGTTTTCATAGAAGTAGAGGTGCTTATTTGACCCTTTTCCCATCAATCCTCTATACATTTGACTTAGTTAATAATGGATTGAGCTAGGCTTAGGTGAAAAAATCATACTCCGGATTCATATACTTTTTGAGTCTCAGAGGTAATAAAAGAATAGAAGTACCTAGTAATACTTAATAAAAATTAGACATAAAAACTTCGGAGTATCTATCTATTAATATATAAAAGCACACTTCTTGGGTGAATAGTGTTCCCTCCTAGAAGTGTCAACATCAATTTTTATTTTAATTTTTAATAAAAAATAATTGCAAATCAATTGTTGTGTGAAGATTTCAGTTCAGTCAATAAATGAATAGCTATTGTTTAGCAATTCACGGCTTGGTGTGCAGGGTCAAATATATTGTGTTCCTATTGATAAAAAAAGAGGTGGGAACAGTTCACTTTAAAGGGATTGGTGTGTTTCAATTGGTTTAAAATAGAGGTGAGAACTATTCATGGAGAGGAGAATTGGCACTGATTGGCTTCCTTATTAAATGAGGTGTATTTCTATTGGTTAGGAAGGAGGTGACACTATTCACATAAAAGAAAATTGGTTTGCATAGCTCAAAAAGGTGTATTCCTATTGGTTAAAGAGGAGGTGGCCACTGTTTACACAAAAAGTTATTTTGTTCGCATGGCTGTAAGTAATTGGATGAGTTGCTATTTGCTAAAAAAACTTAAATTCTATTGGTTGATATGGTGGTGAGAATAGTGAAGTTGTACGTTTAGGGAAGGCCAAATCTCACTATTTGTGATACCTAAATTCTATTGGTTGAAATGGGCGGTGGAATAGTGAAGCTCATTGAGTGTTTCTAACTCCTAACAAGTTGCACTGTAGACTCACTTCACGCTTGCATACCCACGCTGTTCACACCTATAAAAGGTGGAATAATGCTCTGCAATCTAACATTCATTCGCATCTGCAAGCAAAAATAAGAAAGTGAATCAAAACTCTAATGTGAGATTGAAAAGAGCAAAACAACCTGGGCAATGAAAGATAGGACCCTGAGGGAGACAGGACTCTAAGGGTGTATAGGGAGCCTGCTCACAATGCTTTCCCAGAATCTCTAAAAATCATATTCCAAGATGAGGTTCAGAGTTTGTAATGTTATTTTTTAATTATATATTCACATTTAATTGTATGTCACAAGAAGGATTTATTAGGTAGAAGGTAGCAATGCATATAATGTATAGGGATGCATATGATATACTTCGTATATGGATTTCACATCACTTTTCCAGTGGATAACCCAAATAAAAAATGATACAAGTGTGTCAGTCTTGATAATGATTGAACTCTTTATTTTGATTCTTGCAAAAGACATATAATCATATTTTCTCCCACGCAGCCTTTGGGTTATGATTTTATTGATAGATGGATAGCCATGTACATTTAAACACACCTTTCAAAACTGATCCCTGTGTATGGTTTTTGGGTAAGCAGTCTTTATTGTGTATTTGTGCATTTATGCAAGTGTAACAATTCCAAAACGTTACGTGTAAAACAATCCGTATGAATTACGGTCAACATGTTAAACATTTGTTATTAATGAGTATATGTTTCTACCATTTCTCTTGACTCTCTGCGTACAAACAATGATCACGATGCATAGCAGATTAGCAGGTGCATAGGCGCATAGCAGTTCAATCAACAAGCTTTCCTAATTAATAATTCATATTATTGAATCGGCTGAAAATTAAATTTCAAACTCAAATGCAATCAAGTGGTCAAAGATAATGTTTACCTAATGCTTCACATGTAGTGTTCTTTTATTTCTCCTCATAAGCACTTTTTGGACGGCTTCTTCCGAAGGCGCAATACTTCACTACTACACACATACGGGGACTTCCCCAGAGCCATAGCTTTTCCCTTAAAAGCAGTCAACCTTCTCCACTCAGAAATCCTAGCAATCGAAACCTCAATCAAGTTTATGGAAGATCAGGGTTACAACGAATTCCAAGTAAAAACTGATTCGGACAAAACAGTAAAATTCACACAGAGAACGGAAGAGAATACCTCACCTCGGCAATAGCAAGCATCAAAACGCTAGGAGTCTCCAATAACCTGAGCTTTGTCTTCTGTCACCGCGAGGCCAATCAGGTCTCCAGCTGAGCCGAATCAATATGCATCTCCAACCTCCCTTCGACGGCCAAAAAAACATGTTTACAGGGCCTCCATGCATCGCTTCTGCTTCTTAAGAGACGCGTGATAGCATCCGCAAACAAACAGCGACATTATAGCGACAAAAACTCTAGACTAACACTCAATCGGCGGGACTCTCACTGTTCCGTACACCAAACTGACCAAAGAAGCATCTGGAAAATAGAAAACATTCTTGGACGCGAGCTAATCTCTCTTGGGCCACAAGCGGCCCATGTTTCATTTCAATCCACATGCTTCAAAATTACTAAGGGGTGTTTGGAAGTGATTCTGCTTCTGCTTCTCTTTTAAAAGCAGAAACAGAATCAGAATCAGTTTTCAGAAGCTGGTCACCCTCAGCTTCTAAAAAAATTGATTCTAAGAGTAAATTTGAGTACCAGAATCACTTCTGCACTTTCATCCAAACACTCCAACTTCTGCTTCTGCTCCCTGACGGATGAGAAGCAGTTTTAAGAATCAAATCCAAACAGTAAGTATTACAAACAATAAGTCAAAATGGCTTCAAAATCTTTTATTTTGAGAGGAGTGGCTTCGAAATTATCGTAAGCTATACAATAGTTTTTATTATTAAGATTCAATATTAACAAAAAAAATTGCGCAAAAAAGCAACTAATATTACATGAGATAAAAATGGAGATTTCAAAATGGTTAATTAAACCCGTAGATCACATACTATAGTTAATTGAGGTTTCAAAAGTGTAATCGTTTAATTTTTTAAGATTCATTGAATTTAATACTTCGTAGTATTTAGAATTATTGGTAAAACAACCAGAACGTCTACATGTGTAATAAATTCTGACGTAATATTTATGTAAGAAATGTCTATTAATCATAAAATCGAGCAAAATTATTATAAAAAAAAATACATAAAAAAATATAAATGTTATTTGGTAAATAAACATGGACCCTGATACGTAACATATATGGAATATATATCAAATTGATCATAATATTTTAACAAATCTCTCATCTTTTTTTAAATTTAAATTACAAAGAAACGATCAAAAAAATTAAAATACAAAGAAAAAATATAAAAAATTACCCCTTGAATTGAGTACTCCTAACCTTTCACGCACCCTTTCAAAAAAAAATCTTTCATGCATAAAAGCAACATGAATAGGGTTCCCTCTAAAAAAACATCAACATCAAATGAGTCAAATATTCATTTGCAAAACAAGAATGCGAAAACAATAATTTTCTGTATAAATAAGTTTTTCATAAAGTCAAGCATATAATGTAATTTGTTTTCAAATTGAGAATATTACCTCAAATACAAATAAAAAAGTTTGAAAATTCCAAAATAGGACTGCCATGTTTTTATTCCTAAAATAGGACTGATTACTGTCATGTTTGCAGTACCAGACTTTAAACATGGCAGTAATTACTCCTATTTTGGGATTAAAAAACATGACAGTCCTGTTTTGGAATTTTCAAACTGTTTAATTTTAGTCCTATTTTGGGAACTTTCCCTTTCAAATTATATTTGTATAGAATGTTACTTGATGGAGTATATGGCCCAGGAACCTCCGGCCCATAGACTCCTGCTTCTCCTACACAAGTCCGTCGAGCCCAGAGAACAACTCAGGCCCAATTGTGACGGCCCAAGCCTCAAAATAGCCCAGAATACATACTGGGGTGCCTTCGGCCTCCCTGGCCGAAGGCTCCAGAACTCACAGGATGGCCTTTTTGGCATAAGAAGCTGCTGGGAGGAAATGACAGAAAACGGGAGCCTTCAGCACTGTAGAGCCCTCGGCACCAGGGGCAGCCTTCGGCTGAACCAAACCTTCGGCCACACAAGGCTTTCGGCTGCACAGGGGTCCTTGGTCACACGGAGTCCTCGGCTACACAAGGAGCCTTCGGCCATACATGTTTAATCATCGAAGATTCCTTTTGGAGACAACCAACCACCGCATTTAATGCTACGTCACATCCGCCAACCGCATTCAATGCGGTAAACGTACCACTGCCGGTGCCAACCGGCTGATGTGACCCTTCGGCCGTTGGATTACTGACACGTGTACTCTCATCGCATTTATTGTTGCTATAAATAGCAGCACATTTCTCCTTGTAAATCATCATCTACATCCCCAACTCCACATCTCGAGTTCATTTAATAAATCAACTCTCTCTCCTCCTATTTTGCTCTGACTTCTCTCTATTTATTCACGCAATAACCCCTCGGATAAGATACCCCCCGGGTAGACTATCCATCATTACTATTTTGTTAGACTATACACATTTGTGTGCTACTCCACAATTATTGATACTCCGTAAATCGTATTGAATACATTTCAATTTACATCAAACTTGATTATTGTGTATGTATTTTTTTTCTAATTTTGAGTAACACTTTGCCCTTTAAATTTCACCAACCGAGCATAGCAGTGGAGTTATACTTATTTTTAAAAGTGACAAGATATAGTGCAATACATTGAGTTCAAGGTTGTTGTTTATAAAGAAGTGTTTCATAATTGGTCATTCAAAAACAATTTCTCTATGTTCTGGTACAGTGTTAAGACTGTGTACATCTGATCTCCCTTACCCCACCGTAGGTGGGAGCTTTTGCGGCACTGAGGTGATGATGATGATGATTACATTTCTTATGAGATCTATTTTAAAAGTTTTATTACAAAACACAAATCATTGTAATTTAAACATTTCTGTATAAGGGGAACAAGTTAACATGCAAGATGGTGGTGGTAAGATGTTTTCATGGCAAGTCATCCGCGCATATATTGTGTCATTATAAAAGATATAAATGATACTAAATTTGTAATGTAAAGAGAATTTCTATTTCATTTTCCTTTCATTTAGAGAAAGTGCAATTTCTCTAAAGAAGAATGAAGTTAAATAATTTTGGGGTTGAATTTTGTTTTGTTGAATTTAGATAAAAAAAAATTGAAAGATGTAAAAAAGTATTTTGGCCATAGTAACTATGTTTAACATGTCACATTTTCATAAACAACCTTTATTTTAATCGTATTTATGTAATCATTTAAAAAAGTTATATACATATATACCTAAAAAACATTATATATATAAATACTTATTTGAAGATTTTCTCATGAATTTATATTTAAGTATAGTTTAGGAAAGACATAACACATTTTCACATATCTGCACCCCCCTGATTTGTCAGGTTACATCAGCAATTCGTCTAAATAATGCAATTCGTATAGATAAAGACATAACACATTTTCAAATATCTGCACCCCCTGATTTGCCAGGTTACATCAACAATTCGTCTAAATAATGCAATTCGTATAGATAAAGACAACACATTTTCACATGTCTGCACACTCCCCTGATTTGTCGGGTTACATCAGCAATTCGCCTAAATAATGCAATTCATATAGATAAAGACATAACACATTTTCACATATCTGCACACCCCCCGATTTGCCAGGTTACATCAACAATTCGTCTAAATAATGCAATTCGTATAGATAAAGACATAAAACATTTTCATATATCTGCACGCCCCTCCTGATTTGCCAGGTTGCATCAGCAATTCGTCTAAATAATGCATTTCGTATAGATAAAGACATAACACATTTTCACATATCTGCACGCCCCCCCTGATTTGCCAGGTTACATCAGCAATTCGTATAGATAAAGACATAACACGTTTTCACATATCTGCACACCCCCTGATTTGTCAGGTACATCAGCAATTCGTCTAAATGATGCAATTCGTATAGATAAAGACATAACGCATTTTCACATATCTGCACACCCCCCTGATTTGCCAGGTTACATCAGCAATTCCCCTAAATGATGCAATTCGTATAGATAAAGACATAACACATTTTCACATATCTGCACCCCTCCTGATTTGCCATGTTACATCAGCAATTCGTCTAAATGATGCAATTTGTATAGATAAAGACATAATACATTTTCACATATCTGCACACATCTCCTGATTTGACAGGTTACATCAGCAATTCGTCTAAATGATGCAATTCGTATGGATGTAATGTCACCATATTATTTAGTAATTATAAAAATTTATACCTTCAGTTAACATATATAGACCTTTGATCTGAAAATGAAAAAAATCTTTGTCAAAAATTTACTTGAATGAAGTATTTTAATATGGGAAATTTTTTGAATATGGGTAAATAAGTTTCAGAATTCCAAAATAAGATTGTCATATTTTTTTATTGCCAAAATAGGCGTAATTAATGTCAAGTTTGAAAAATATTGGCATGCTTAAGGTCCAATTTTGGAATACATAAAACTTTTTTTGTCCTATTTAGTTTAATTTCCCTTTAAACAATGGTTAATGCTAGACAGAAGGTACAAAGAAGTGTTTCATAAAATTTGCCATGGAATGTTATTTGTTTTCAAATGATGTTTATATTGCGTGTTACTTACTATTTTGCGGGCTATAAAAAATAATGTACTACTCTGTAATCATTAAATGTATTTGAACAAGACTCAGAATGTTGTATTCAAAAAGTGTTCAACCTGTTTAAGGTTACATGAAATGTATATTTACAATGTTATGATTTCTAAGTATTTGTTGGATGTTTTTGATCTTTTAAGTAATGTTTTGTTCTCTTTTTAACTATAATATATATTATAAGTGTGTTTTGTTTATTGCTTGAAGTTATATCAATATTCCATGGAGATAGATGCTCTCATCAACTGATAGTGTACTTTGAATTAGTGAGCACAAATAAATTTGAAGGAAAATTCTCAGACCGTGCATCGCACGGGTGAGCTTACTAGTTACGTATGAAGTAAAAAGAAACTCTTTAATTGCTTAGAAAGAAAGTTAATAAATCTGTTCTCTTCCTTCTTTATTAATCGAACTTTTGAACTATTCATATGCCTTGCTTAAATTACTTTACTACACATTTTACATGTATGTGTGTGTGTGTATATATATATATATATATATATATATATATATATATATATATAGATTTAGGTTCTAATGAGAACACTCCTTAAAATGAGATGTGAGAACAAATCCAGGCCATCAAAAATCTCAGCAGATCATCGATCGATTAACTGGCGGCGAAGGATATTTTAGTCTCTATCAAAAAGCACCGTTTTTGTAACCGACTCTGGAGTAATACGTTCGTCCGAGGCATTGATGGAAGGAATAACTTCCATCTTATTTGATTTTATTTCTTACGTGAATTAGGTTATCCAATTATAGAAACAACATCTTTTTCCTTTTTTTGAAATTCTTCTTCGTTCTTCATACCGTCTTGCTCGACGATCGTCTTGGCCTCCATTTGGAAGGTGTCGCGTGTGTACTGTACAATGAAGGAAGCCATGGAACCAGGTTTTTATCTTCCAAATTTACGTTTCTACTATAATTTTGATCTACGTATGTATTATAATTGTTGAGATCATGTTTTTTATAAAACATGTTTCCGTGTGTAATACATGACTTCTTACAGTAAAAAATAATCTTTTATAACAAGAAATATTAACTCGTTTTGTATTTTGTATTGGATTTTAGTTTCACACGTTTCACTAGTTCATGCATATGTTGCATGCATGAGATGCACATCTACAACTATTTTTTGTCTTTTACCGTAGGAGAATCAAGTCATTGTGAAATTTCTCCCGGTATGACTAAGTATTGGATTCCAGAATGCCAAAGTGATAGGAAGCCCGCTGTTGGTATGGTATTCACTAGTTTACAACATGGTATTGATTTCTACAATGAATATGCATCTTTATGCGGCTTTGATCCACGCCTTCATTCCCAAAGGAAGCACAAATCTGGTTTGATTTTATTCAAATATGTTGTTTGTAATCGTCAAGGTTTTAAACCTGACAAGGTTGTGCAGAATGAAGGGACTATTCCCACTGTTGATGATTTATTTCAAAATGCTAATCTGGAAAATACTCTTGATCCATGCATGGATAATTCTGATATTGATGATAATGTGTCATTGTGTGTGGAAGATTCTGATCTCACGTCACCCGCACCTTCAAATCAATGCACTTTAGACGATGAGTCAAATAAAAGGCGTCGTGTATCTACCAGAAATGGTTGCAAAGCATGTGTTGTGTTTAAATATTGTGGGTATGGTCGTTACTCTGTATTTAAGTTTGAAGAACGTCACTGTCATCGTATGCTTGAAGAAATGCATAAACAATTCCTTAAGGTGAATAGAAACCTTGATTTTGGTCATAAGAAATTCATCATCAATTGTGCTAAAGCAAACATTGGTCCGATGAAGTCTTATAAACTCTTTAAGGAGTCAGTAGGTGGATATAGCAACATTGGTGCAACTGCTGTCGATTTCAAAAATTTCAAACGAGATCTTAGGGCATACATTGAGGGTGTTGATGCACAGATGTTGATTGATAAGCTATTTCGGAAGGTTGAAGTGTGCTCTTCATTTTTCTTTGATTATGACGTGGATGAGAATGATCAGTTGACCAAGATTTTTTGGGCGGATCCAATTTGTAGGCGAAATTATTCTTATTTTGGAGACGTGGTTTCTTTTGATGCGACGTTCCGTACGAACAGGTATTTCTTTCATCATGATTTGTATTTTAGGTTGCACAATAAAATACCTACGATGCTAAACACCTGGTTTATGCTTTTGCAGGTATAATTTGGTTTTTGTTCCATTCACCGGTGTTGACAATCACAAAAAGTGTGTCACTTTTGCTGCTGGTTTATTGTCAAAAGAAGATGTAGAGTCATACGTCTGGCTTGTATCACGGTTTATTGATGCAATGGGTAGTGTACCAATGTGCGTAATAACGGATCAAGATCCAGCCATGCGCATTGCTATTCAGAAGGTAATTCCTAATGTAAAACATCGCTATTGCATGTGGCATATAATGAACAAGTTGACTACTAAAGTGGGCCCTGTGCTTAGTAAGGATGTTGATTTTTTGTCAAGGATTAATAGTGTTGTTTGGAGTAACTACCTTGAGCCTTCTGTTTTTGAGGAAAAATGGAAATCTGTTATGACCGATTATGACCTCTTGGAGCACCAATGGTTTGTTGACTTGTTTAATCTTCGCAAGTTTTGGATACCTTCTTATTTTAGGGATTTGTTCATGGCTGGTTTGCTTCGAACAACGTCGCGGTCAGAAAGTGAAAATAATTTCTTCGGTGAGTTTACTAACCCTCACTTTAGTCTCATTGAATTTTACATGCAATTTGAAAGTGCAATGGATGCTCAACGGCATAATAATGATAAGCTAAATTCAAGTTCTGATGCGTACATTCCTGTTTTTAAAGTGCAATGGATGCTCAACGGCATAATAATGATAAGCTAAATTCAAGTTCTGATAGCTATCGATTACCACAGATACGAGCAGGACCAAAAAATGCCTTATGAACCATATTCCACCCTCAGTACACTCCAACATCGCCTTGCATACTTCTGTCGGAGTAATCTGATTCTCATTCTTCTTAAATAGTGCTCTCCACTCATCTAGCACCTCACATTTTGCTAATCTATGTTTTTTTAGTATAGGTTTGCTGCCTCTTGGAAATCCGAGCACTATCTGCACATCCTCTTCCTTGATTTGCACACTGCCATCAAGTATTTCCAGCTTGCAGTTTTTTGGATTGAAAGATTTCAACACCCAATAAGCCAGCTTTGAAGGTATCTCTGGTGTTTCCAACCTTAACATGCTTCCAAACCCAATTCTTTCAACTTCATTCTTTTGCTTGTCATTGAATTGCTTGACTGCTCTCACAAATACATTTGGTGATGATCTGGTTTGAAGTGTTGGCAGCCCTTCCTTCATCAGCGTAATTTTCCCCTTCTTTCTTTTCTTCACATTGACCACTTCATCCTGCACACTACATTCTGCTCTCTTTGTCTTTTGTATTGGTGCCTCTTGAAAATCATCATCACTCTCGTGAATCACAGTGTCACCAATGAGCTGACCGCTGACCTCTTTGTGTTGTTCCTTGTATTGCAACACTCCAGAAATTGTTCCACGCTCACCATCCACTTTTTGTGTAGCTGAAGCCTGTTGAATCCTACCACTACGACGTGGGCTTGGTGACGAATTTCCACTTTCAGAGCAAACCAAATACACATGTTTGGCACGCTTGTTCAAGTCAACCTTTTTTACCACTATTGTACCTGTACAATGTTAATCATTAAACACTTCACACGTATGAATGTAAAAACTCGCATTCACAAATCCAAGTAACACAATTTTGGAATATCAATGCCACTATACCTTGGCTTTGCACTTGTTCATTTATTTTTGCAACTTCTTTTGAAGTTTTTTGCATTTTGCTAGCCACACGAGCACCTAATATACAACGTATTAATACGCATTTTGCAACGTATTAATCTTTTTGAAAAAATTCCAATAGAATTTAAAATACACTTTTTTAAGTTAGGAATGCACATTTACTCTTGTTTACTAACGCTTCTTATCCTGTTATTTTTCGCTCGGTCTAACATCTCACGCTTTGCTCCCATTTTTGCACAAATTTAATCCTTCGTATAACAAAATTCAAAGGCAATGTCTACTGTACTTATTACACTCAAAAATCTATATTGAGAATCTAATATACAGTCTTTACCCCCTCCCTCCCCTCAAAATTTTAATGCATATTTACTTTTGTTTATTACACTTTCTCATGTTTTTATTCAGTTCAAATACCATTGTACACAAAATGGATCCTTTTTTGCACATTCTCAAACTTATTACAGCAAAAACTTCAAAATAATGTCTACTCCACTTATGTCAATCTAGTATGCACAATTGTTGTCTCTTATTTTCACGTACTACTAACTCCTTTTTAACTCCACTGGTACATAAAACAAATACAACTGTCACCACACATTTTAAGATTTCATATGCACATTTATTCTTCTTTATAACAGTATTGTTACTTATTATTCCCGTGGAGTACAACATCACACCAAATGCTCCCATATATGCACAATTGTTACTTTTGAAATAAACATATGAAAATGCATCCCTACTGCACTTATGACACCCATTACATTCACAAATTTCTACTAAGACTTGCACTACTAACCAAACAAAAAATTCCCTTAAAAAATCCCCCAAAAGTACAAAGCAAACATTCTTCACAACTAAATCACCAAATTCAACCTTTCCAAATTAAACTTCAGACGTAGTATTCATATTTGAAGTTCGTATCATCCTTACAACATGAACAAACAGCAAATTCGCATACCAATAAACAAACCCCGAATTCAAATTCACATACACTATTTGCATGTGCACACAAATAACCCTAATCCGACTACTTGTCTACGGATGTAGTCATGCACAATTGTATTACACTGGGACACAACAATTTACAGTTCAACCACTCATATCATCAAATAATTAACAGTAGTATACATATATTTTAGACACACTTCGTCTTCCAACTTCCGCACAATAAAATGTATACTTCACAAACGTACCTTCTTCATCGGCTGTGCTCTGGTTCATCATCGCATACTCTTCTTGAACAGAGCTCATTTTCGTCTTTCTCTTGCACTCTTGGCTCTGGAAAACTTTACTACTTCAAATCAATGCCGAGACAGTATATTGGTACTCTCGCACATCAATTTTGGTAGTTACCATTTTTAATTCTCTTTATTTTTGTCAGTCGTGTGATGAATGGAAGCTCTTGCGTGATTATGGCTAGTTTTTCGGGAAGTGGAAACAAGAAAACGGAACTCCATAGAAGGTATCTTTTCCCAAGTTACTATTATACCCTCCACGCACGCGGTCTCTGGTTTATTCTGTTCGTAAGATGCAATTAGGTGTGACGCAATGTAGGAATTATTTGTGCACCTCATACCGTTTACACCGTCCGTTTCTTAAAATTGAAGGCATGGATTTGTTCTCACATCTTATTATAAGGGGTGTTCTCATTAGAACCTAACCCTATATATATATATATATATATATATATATATATATATATATATATCAGAAATGCTCAGGTCCATCCGGAGGGACGGGAGGCTCCGTCCAAACTTTACTGTTTGGGGTGGTTCCCGGTGGAATTTTTTGATGAAATTTGTTGAACATGTTCATCATCAAGTCTGGTTTATCCATATCAAATTTCAACTCAAAATGAGATCGGGAAGGCATTCAAATAAATTCTTGAAACATACTGCACATTCTGCGCACATATAATGTGCAGTATGTTTCAAGAATTTATTTGAATGCCTTCCCGATCGAATTTTGAGCTGAAATTTGGTATGGATAAACTAGACTGGATGGGGAACATGGTCAAAAAATTTCATAAAAAAAAATCCACTGGGAACCGCCTCAAACTGTAAATTTCGGATGGCACTTCTCGTCCCTCCGGATGGACCTGATCATTCCTCATATATATATATAATATATATATATGTATATATATATATATATAGATCACATAAAAACACCCTCTAACATGAAAAATAAGAAGAAATCGTGGACATAGATGTGAAGCAATCGTACGGCAAGCATAAAATTTGCTTCGGTGATATGGTGCATTTAATGTGAGCAGATTATTTCCTTGATTATAGAATTTAGAAGAGACACAATACAAAGGGTGTAACTGTCTTTTCCTTTTCTTACCAATTTAAAAAACATAGAACTTGATCTTAATAATAATAAAATACAGCGATAGTTCATCTTTCCCATCTCCAATTAATTGTCATTGGCTTGGAAAGTGCAGAGGGTAATTGCACTTGTCTACACATATGGCTTACATGTGGATAATAAGAGACATAACGTGTTAAAATGGACACGTTATGGGTATGTTGATTATGGAATATCATAAGTGTAGATAAAATAATATATTAATTTATGATTGCAAGACCACTTTGGATGCAGTGGAGACTGACATAGACAAAATAGAGGAAGAAAAGCTAAAAAGTGGAATACTAGGATATGAAAAATGTAAATGAATAGAATAAGTGGAAATGTTACCTTTAAAAGTGCAGATTGGTGATTTAATTAACTTATTATGAAAGTGGAATTTAAATTTCCCTAATATTGTAGATTTTGGTAAATAAAATAATAGTGAATTAGATTGGTACACAAGTAGTACCATGGCGAGGATCGTGAGAATGCTCAATAATATGGATGTAATGTTTTTGGTAATTGTGCATTGAGCTAGTTAAAAAGTGGACATCGTAAAGTTTAATAGTGTACAAGTAGGTGTATATTATTGATTGTAGTTTAGGGTGGACATATAATGTGAAAAAATGAATATTAAAAGTGAAAAGGTTGTGCTAAGTATTTGTGTGTGTGATTGTTGAGTTTGGCCGTGCAAATACACCTAATCACACGTCAACTATAAAAAAAATGGAAAGTGAGTAATAACGTATGGGAATAAATATATACTTACCAATTTGAAAGTTATGGAAAACGGAAGGGAATAATCGGATAGACAAGATTACCCCTTTAGTAGGTTGAAAAATCAGGACCATGCCTTTTCATTAATGAAGAATCTTAGGGTTAAGATTACTTCTTACTTTTCGTGGGAAGTTGTGTTTTTATATGATCCAATATATATATATATATATATATATATATATATATATATATATATATATATATATATATATATATATAGATTTAGGTTCATGTGAGAACTTAATCTTAGGAGAGGAAAAAAGAATTAATGAGGACCATTAGATCGTTTCTTAACTATTCCGTGCTACTAAAATGCCTGGAGGCTAATCATGTCATTTACGTTTTTATTATTTTAAACGTGGACTGAAAACAACCGTTTCCACTTATTATTTTAAACGTGGACTGAAAACAACCGTTTCCATCTACGTAACTGACTCTTTCCTTTCTTGTTTTTCAATTCCATGTTTCTTTTATATCTTATTTTTCAATTTCTTTTACGTACACGTCTTCATGTTG